GCGACATTCAACCTACTCACTCTAAGGCAAATAGGTCAGCAGGCTGCACTCGCACGCACCTTGTACACACTGGGTATGGATGTGTTGTGTGTTCGAAACTAAGATCAATGACCTTATTGGGTTGTTGAATTAACCGTACCCGGCTTGTCCTCTCGTTATTGGTTGCGCGCACCCGGAGATGCCGATGCAGCACTCATGGGTCAATCACTGGAATACAATGCCCCACCGAGGTGGAACATTGTCGCCGAACACTTCGCTGGAACGAAGTACACCCGAACCACGTAGCTGGCACCACGAGGAGGTAGTTCGGCAACCAACCAAAAAAGGATGAGGTCACCAACCGGATAGCAAAAGCTCGAGTCGATTTTGCTAATCTCCGCAACCTGTGCCGCCCGTGTGACATCACTCTCGCTCTGAAGGGCAGAGAGTAACATTACAGCCTTGCTTTGAGGCCTACTTTATTGATCCGAAACCTGATCCAGCAGATCGACAGACCTGCAGAGGCTAATTACCTTCGACCATCGCTGTTTTCGCAGCTTAGATCATGTTTGGTTGGAACACCGCATGGGAAATGAGCGTGTTCGGCGTCGTGTATTTGATGCATGAAGAGCGAGTGAACTGCATAGCACCATCATATCACACCAGGTATCGATGGCTGGGCTACGTGTCGCGCATGCCAGCACCCCGATTCTCTCGACATGCGTTGTTTGTGTGACCGGGATGTGGATGGAAGGAGAGGAGGGGAGGCTCAGCGATGACTTGGTAAGAGGATTTAAACCCTCTTTTCGTAGTTGGCGTTGGTTGGTTTCTCCCGACTGCTTAGCTGGGGTCCGAAGGACGATGAATACGTCTGATTGGATACACTTGTAGACATGGCTAGGAGCCGACCTCAATGGCATTTGTGTTGTAACTCACTTTGTCCCTCCCCCTTCCAAGAACGATCTCATACATATTACAAAATATAATATTTGGCATTATGCAACTTGTTTTTTAGTTTTGTTATAGTCTGGGGTGCTTGATATCTTATCCTTTTGTATTGCGGCACATTAGCTGTGGTGTGTTTCTCACCCTCAGCTGATGTGTATTGCTGATAATGATGAAGTTGGGTTGCCTAGTACCTGTCTGGCTTATATGCACGGATTGGCTGTATGTAGAGTGCACTTGGCGTCCAGCCACTGCGTTGCCAAGAGCCTTGTTTTCCTTCACTGTTCGCCTAACTTTAAATACGCTATTCATGCTATAAGCGCAGTGTCGGCTGGAGGCCGATAGGAATACACGCTTATCTTGTAATCGTGAAGCCACCGGTTCGAATCCGCGTAGGTGCTGGTGACTTCGCATTATACCCAGTCCGTGCGCGACAATTAGTGGTCGCGTGACAGCAAAGTCTCAGTCCGGTGTACTACTGATGCTTTTCTAAGCACAGTATTGGTCTGGAGCAGATTGCATGTGCGTTCATTCAGTGAACCCATCCATCGATATTTACTATTCGCTCTTTTCAGTCTTCTTCTGCTCCTATTATCTCAGCTGTTTGCTTTTCAGTTTGGGTTTCTATTTTCGTTGTATTCTCTGTCAATGACTCTCGCCCATAAACATCGTCGCTTTAAACTGTGCACTAGGAATAAAAAGAAAGAGCAAAAGGCGTCGGCATTACGTCGGCACGCCGTACCGACGCTACGTTGCCGCACGACTACCAACAGCTGCGCGATGACTGAGTATACCGTGAGGTCGCCTGCACCCACTCGGATTCGAATCGGCGATCTTAGGAGCATGATGCAGGCGCGTGCTATTTTCGGCCACCGACTGACCTGGAAAGTCAACACCGTATCGTTTCTGTTATCCCAACGCCGCTGGACTTCTTTAGCTCTGTTCAACCCGTCATGTCTATTGGCACACGCGCACGGCCCGTAGTTTTAAGGATTACAAGCATGCCTTGTAATTTGAGGGCACGGGTTCGAGGTTGCGTAAGGACCGGGCAACCCTGACAGTATCCTGAGTCCACGTGTGACCGGTGGTGGTTGCACGGCAACGAAGCTTCTGTACTTCAAACCTGTGTACTGCTGACGCCTTGCCTTATTGCAGCCATTTAAATGCCGATACCTCTGTTGCCTCAAGCTCAATTATCCATCAACTTTTGGAAACCTAAACTGCAAACTGAATTCGAATGTGTTAGCGTCGGAGCAGGCATGTGTTCAACCGCGTTTGGGACTAATAAGGATCTTATGCTTTAGAAATGTGAATGTGAATGTGTTGTCTGACCAAGGAAGGTGGGGAAGCTCACTTTTGTCGAACCTTGATCGCTCATTCTCCGAACTTTGTATGGGTATTCATGTCTTTCAGGAGTGTTCGTGCTCGTTATCGCTTAGGTCGGCCTTCCCATTCCACTGCAATCGGTTTAGTGATTCTTGAGTCTCGCGTTTGTTTAACTCGTTAGCAGCTGTAGTGCCACACTATTTGTCCCTAGTAGTTATTTCACCAACATAATGATCTAAAGAGCACATGTCCAACTCCAGGATCGATAACTTCCCAAGTCCTTGCGACCACGCCGTATTTTACTTGCATGTAGCAGTAAGTATCTCCGTTCACTACGACCTTCACGTTGTGGATGATTGTGAGATTTAATATATTGCGCTATAGTCTGTCATTCTCTAGGTCCAGCCGAGGTACTTATCTCTGGTATGCTGTGCATATCCGCTTTAAATAATAGGACGTGTTGTCTCCATTCTTTTCCTCACCAATTCAGGGCTATGCTTCACATGCTGTTGTTCGTGGAGCTCGAGTACCAACTTTTATTTTAAACACACTTCCTTCCTTTTGACCAGTGACAGTGTCTACAGTCGTTTACAATCCTACCTGCTCTGGTGAGTTAGGAACGACCGTCTCCTTTTTAGTCGTGATGTATTCGAGCCCTTTTTTCGAAAGAGGCTTAAAAATACCAATTGCCTCCGTTATCGTCGCTCTTTTTTGAGTATGGAGGAAATTCTTTCTCTCTACAGATGGTTTACAAATGTAGTGCTCATCTTATCCTCCTAAGTAAGGGTACATTTGGCTACCGATCATTGTATTATGTAACCCCTTCGTTTTATCTTTACCATCTCTACTTACTACTGAACCACTACGTCTTTTGTTCCCTTATTTCTTGAAACTGCGAAGTGCCATTAAGTGAGCGGCTTGCTTGATAATTATTTATCGTTACTCATCGGCCTCGATTATCGTTCGTCGCCTCACTGCGGACCGGGAATCTCGGATTAGGGAAGAGCAGGCCGGTTTCCGCCCAGGACATGGCTGTATAGACCATATATTCACTTTGCGGCAGGTGCTAGAGTAGCGCCACACATACCGCAGACCGACAAAATTGCTGTATTTCTCGATTTCAAGGGTGCGTTCGATTCAGTAGATCTATGCCTTATGTTCTAAATATTTGCGCGGAAAGGTGTTCCCATGGAATATGTGAACATCTTATGTGGTGTGTACTCGAACACTACAGGCCGCGTCAGGGTATACAATGACCTGTTGGATAGCTTTTCGATAACACGTGGCGTTCGTCATAATTGTTCGTTTTCCCCATTTCTGTTCAATTTCGTCGTGGATTCTATCATGGACTGCTCCGTTGCGGAATCTCACGGTGTAGGCCTTGAAATGCTGCCTGGTGAAAGGTTAGTTGTTCTAGATTATGCGGATGATATCGTCTTGATTTTCGACGGTGTTGGGGCGGCACAATCAACCCTGAATAGCCTGTCCAGAGTGGTCCCAATATTTGGTATGCACTTCGCATCTTCAAAGTGCAAAGTGTTGCTGCAGGACCACCAGCCACTTTATGACCTCTTGAGCCTTGCTAACGAGCAACTCAAAGTGATTGATCAATTCACTTATCTTAGCAGCGGCATCAGCAATGATGGGCGCATAGAAACTGACGTGAGCTCACGCATTGCAAAGGCCAGAGCTACCTTCTTGAACCTGCGTCAGCTTTGGCGACAGAAGGGAGTTTCCCTGCGTCTGAAAGGCCGTGTATACAAGGCCACAGTGTGGGCCGTTCTGCTCTATGGTAGTGTGACTTGGCTCCTTCGGTCTGCAGATCTGAGGTGCCTTCAAGTCTTTGATCATCGTTGTTTGCGAAGGATTGCTGGTGTCGGATGGCACCAGCGTGTCCGCCGCGATGATTTGCGTAGGTGAGTACTAGGTGGTGATAATCATGCTAGCTCCCTAGAACAACAGATAGCACTGAATAAGTTGCGTTGGCTCGGGCACGTGCTAGGTATGCCTGGTCACCGCTTACCTAAGTGGGCCTTGTTTAGTCTGCCTAGTGTAGGGTGGCGCAAGGCTCGAGGTGGACAGAAGTTGACTTGGCAGCGTGACATGAAGTCACTGACGACCAAACTGGGTGCCGTTGGTCCGTCTCGCCTTCCGGGCTGGAGTCCACGTGACTCACCTTTTGCTTGGCTCGAGACTTTACCGGACATGGCTCGCAGTTGATACCAGTGGCGCGTCTGCTGCCGTCTCCTAATCGGATTGCCTGTTTAAAGTGTGTTTGGTGCTAAGTTACCTGCGGGGTAATGGCTAATTATGACGTGTGGAAGTGAAAGCCGCAAGGAAGCTGTCATGTCGATGCCGCCTTATCTTTGCACGATAGCCAGCTGTTTGTGACGGTATGTTGTTAACACAAGGTGTAGGCGCCTTGACTCTGAATTTTTGCTTAGAGCATTAAGGTTTTCAGGTACGTCCCCCTTCTCTCCCTCTTATTCTTTATTTCATAGGTCCTCATGGTTGTATGGCAGCGAAGCATCAGTTCAAATGGCTGATGTACTGCTGTTGGTGATGATGCTGATGATGACTCATCGGCCAACTCTGCGAACGCAGTCTTTCCAAGCTACACGAGAGGCAGATACTCCGCACGTTTCAACTTCATTTCGACACTATTGCTGTTTCTAGCTTTGTTCAGAAACTTTTCAATGAAATGATCCCGTTCTATATTGACTATTTATCTGCGCTCATTTACTTCCCAGGTTCTAAATGGCCTGCAGACGCCGCAGCTCTGCGGTTAATTGACGGTGACCCGCAACCTGCTGAGATGGCTCCTCAGTCTAATTGTCGAGGCAGTATGAAAATTGCCACTACAGCCTCTTCAGCGAACTCCGCAGGCTTCGGTAGCGTTTCAGCCGGTACGTTTGGTGTTCAGGGGGCCAACAGTCTCAGCAGCAGCGGAATGGGTCGCACCACTCTCACTCAGTTGAACACTGGCTCTTATTCGACGTCGCCACTAACCGTTGCCCCGTTCACAAGCACCGGCACTAGCTCTGTGTCCCCTACCTTGCAAGAGCTGTTGGACGAAACTTGCAGTGGTTCTGGTTCCGGTGTCGCTTTGCTAGTCCAGCGAACGGTAGCGCGTCAGATACAGCTGGAGGAACGAATCGGTGAGGGCAGGTACGGGGAAGTATGGCGAGGTGTTTGGCAATGTGATCAAGTTGCGGCCAAAATATTTTCCAGTCGCGATGAGCGTTCATGGTTTCGGTAAGTGTCACTTTTACCTTCAGACGATATTCTCCTTCGCTGGGTTCGACTCTCAGACGTCTGAATTAAAATTTGTACTTTTTCGCAGGCTTTTTTAATTTTTTCTCACGTCATCGGGAATTGTAATGCGAACAGGTTTCCCCGTATGAATACTGCTGTACACACCAGTGGCCGTTTCTGTCATAGGTTAGGGTTTCGGCGCTGCATACTGATATTTCTCTGGCATGCAGCCTTAAATAGCTTTACGCGAGTTGGATGCTACATAGGCGCGCAGGAGCTAGGACCGAAATTGGAACCCATAAGTTACAAGCCGAACACGACTCAACACACCATGGGGCCTTTTTGTAGCATTTTTCGTGAATGTCACTGTCATCATACTGGAACAATCATAGCCTTCTACTTCGACATCACCTGCCTTGTTTCTCTTTTCAGCATTTCAATAGCGGGTCTCACTGGTTCAAATTTATACCACGTAGGCATAACTGTTTCATATTAATGAGCTTTTAAACGTTGGGCCTGGCGTTCACTTTGTTCTGTTATTGTTATTCTCGCTTACCTCTCCACATCGGCCTTTCACTTGTATGATTGTTCTTCAGTTTTGTTTGGTTCCTTCACTGAACTCCTATGTTCATCGCTTTTTCGATTACATTATGAGTGCAGACCGTTTACTTCGTGCATCCTTTTTGTTACTGTGCACTACCAGCGATTGTTCGCATTCTTGGAGACCGTCAAAACACCGAGGCCAAGACGGATGCACAAGCTACTGACAGACTACAAAACTTATCACGGTTATCTACTAGGTATCTAGCAACACATCGCTGGCCTGTGCTTGACTATTATCGACATGTATGCACAGGTCGGTGGGGTACCTTCGTTATTCTCTGCTCATCCTCCTCTCTTTCCTCACTTCTGCATCTGTCTTTAACACTTTAACATTCTGATGGGATAGTCTTGTCGACTTGGATTACACGGTCGCCAGAGCAGACTGGCATCTGTGTGCTTTACTTGCATCAGATGTCAAATCATGGATGCTTGACAAATTTCTGTACCACTGTAGAACATATAACATGGCGCATTCGTTTCATATCTCGGTTTTGGATGATTGACTAATGTATACCTATGCCCAATATTACTTCATCGTTACCGACATTTATCTCATCTAGATAAGTCCAAACTTTGGCTGCATGCGTTAGTTCGGTTATTTGCGTAGACTACTCATTCTCTCTGGCTGGAACTTTCTTATTAATTCCGGACCACTTGTTCCAAACCGACCACTGATTAGAAGTGAGGCTAGTTTAGCCTCAGTATCTTCTTGTTAAACGATTGAGGAGGGATCATCTATTAACATCCAGTCATGAGTGGTGACGCTTTAATCACGTAGCTCCATTAGTATCGGGCATCGGTGACATCAGGTGACTCTGACGGTGAGAGAGCACCACTGTTCCCTACCACCCGCTTCAAATTAGACTACCCCTTACCGCTGTGTTGCACGCATGACGCAGACCATGCTCACAGGTGTGTCGCATTATAAGTTCGAAAGGCACGCGTTACTCATCCAAAACTTACTAGCGCGACTTTTGACCGGCCTTAAATTGGGTTCCGGCCAGCTGCACCAGTCAAACTCCAGAGCTGGATCTAACCCCCTTGGTCTTGTGGGTTATTACATGTAAGGCGAAAGGCAAATACTCTCGAATAAACTGCCAGTTTCATAGTGAACACTCGATTAGTATCGTCTACCTACCAACCGTTACTAAGTTATCTTTCTCCACTTTTTTCTCTAGTCAACCTCTGCCCCCCAAGTTAACCAGCAGAAGACTTTTTCTGTGTTAAGCTTGTGTCCAGATAGTATTTACGATCAAGAATAACATTTCACGTCAGTTCTTCATAGTTTGAACTCCGTATCAGAGCAGTCAAAGTTCTACTCCTGTTCTCACTCTGCACTCCCTTGGGGCCGAAGTACGTTGTCTTCGAAACACGCATACAAAACGACGGTGCCACAACGTACACCCGGCTCTGGTCTCAATCGCTTCACCGATTATGTCCACTTGATAGTTCAAAATAAGTGCATTTCACATAAATGCTGTGGCCTGTCCGTGTTGCGTCGCCTCACGTGTGCACAGCTCAACGAGAAAACCCACGTCTGTTCAGATTTTGGTCTGTTCTCCGAGCTGAACAGTTTCGTTGCAGACGTTTATTTACCTATCAAGGTGACCTCCTCATAGCGTAGTAAGCAAACTGAGTGGTTTGTCGACCCTTGACCGAGAGCGAGTGACGTTTGAACTTAGCCACTTCGATTCACGTTCGCAGTTCGATCGCCGCCTCTTTTAGACTCGTGGTGAACGGCGCGCGTAAATTCTTTTTTCGCGGTCAGTGACGGACCGGACCTAAATCAATGCGCAATTTTATTGTGTTCTCTGTAGAGAACAATGCTTCGAGAACTTCTTTCCTTTTCTTGTCCCTCCCTGCGCTAGGACCTCCGTTTTCTCCCACTCAAACTTGTATCCTTATTCAACCTATGCCGAGACCAACGATGATGAGTAATGGTTTCGACAGCCTAGTTTGTGTTCCTGTACTCCTGTAGACAATTTTCTCCCCGTTTGGCTCACAGTGGTTATCACAATTTTTCTACTGTATCTGTAAACCACATTCCGGCGTTCGTGCACTCCAGTCTACCATCAACAGCGAAAAAAGAATTTAAGGCTGGACATTCACCACATGAGTCTAAAAGAGGCGGCGATTGAACTGCGAACTAGCAATGCTCACTGGACGTGAATCGAAATGGCCAAGTTCAGACATCACTCGCTCTCGATCAAGGGTCGAAGAGCCACTCAGTTTACTTACTACGCGCTGACGAAGTAAACTCGAATTTAACGTCTGCGACGGAACTGTACAGCGCGGAGCACAAACCAAAACCTAAACAGACAATCCGGGCTACAGGTATTCCCATTTATTGCAAGCCCATGTCACAACACCCAACCCGAGGTGCCAGTATAACGACTTGTTGCGAACTGTGAGCAACGTTTACTTACTTTACTTGTGTGCACCACTGTGCGCTGTTTTATGGCGCCAATTTTTATGTGGCTTACTCAGGTGCTCAGCTAATGCTGCGCTGCCCAAAATCCAGATAGACCACGTCCGTCGGAACGAAACTGGGCCTTAACGTGGTGTGGCGGTTTGCGTACCTCGTCGACCCATTGAGCTTTACTGGGTGGTGCCCCCAGGCTCCAGGTTGGTCAATAGTTAGAGGTCAGACAATTCAGCCTTCTGGCCCTCCAAGTTGAGGGTTTAAAATATAATGGCGTCCTTTTTTGTAAAACCTAATCATTGCCACATCCCCGCTGCCTTTCGGATAGGCTATTGAGCCAAAGGCTTTGATTGAGGACCCTAATCGTCCTCTTTTCTAGGTCTGGGCGCCCTGGCAGTATCTTATCCCACATACAACCATGCCAATTTCCTCAAACTTTAACTACCTCCTGCATCGGCCGTCGCGCAGATTATCACGAGTCACCTTATCTGGTGCATATAGCAGGGTGGATAAGCGGAAACATGATATTGCTGGCGTCTCCCTTCTTTTTTCCCTATGTTTCTCTTACTCCTTTCCCAACCCCAATTACTAACCTTCCTACGATAATTCCCAACTCTTTTGACAACGGCCGTAATGCCACTGGAGTCGAACCGTCTGCAGCTACCTTTCTGCTCCACCCACCGGACGCCTATCGGCAACAGTTTCTTATAAAACCACACTATCCAGTTTCCCTGGTGGCCTTCAACATACTTTAAGACAAATAGGTCAACAGGCTGCGCTTGCACACACGTTGGACACACTGGTTATTGAGGTGTGTTGTGTGTCCGAAACTAGTATCAATGACTCTAATGGGGTTGTTGAATTAACCGTGCCCGGCTTGTTCTCTCGCTGTTGGTTGTACGCATCCGGGGACGCTGGTGCGGCAGCCACTTTTTCAAGCTGGGGTGGGCATTGTTCTTTCTCCAAGACTGAGTCATCGTTGGTTGATTGGACTCCGGTGACCAGTCGTTTGTATGCAGCCTGTTTGACGACATCAACTGAAGTTTATTCAATAGTAAAAACGCTGTTTGTTTGTCCTTTCCACTTATACCCCCATCGTCTGAAGTTCTGCTGCTGTCAAGGACGCCTTCTGTCACGAACTGAACACCCTACTACACAGTGTTACCAGTTCAGATGTCATAGTTCTTGCAGGGGATATGAATGCGTCAATATCACGTCTGAGGTCTTCCGTAGCTCAGCTAGGTGGTAAGTATAGATTTAACAACGACCATACGGTCAACAACGAGCGTCGGTTACAGTTGTGTGCGAAGCACCAGCTGTTTCTTAGTAGTACTGCTTTTAGACACAGTGGGCGCTGAAGTGCCACTTGGCGTGCTCCTGTAGCTGACCAGCGATGTACCCAAATAGATCACATTGCCATAAGTTGCAGGAGCCGTGGTTCCATCCTGGATTATCGCTCGTTCTGAAGTACTTACGTCAACTCTGATCATGCCTTGTTACGCTTTCCTTTTTCCATGAACTGGGGGGGGGGCGTACCAAGCGTCTCCCTCGATTGGCAACTGGGAAGTTATCACAGCCCTCGGCCAAGCAAGCCTGCCATGATGCGCTGCGTACTGAACTTTCGCTCTGTTGTCCTAATGACGCTGAGCTTCAGTGGAATAGGATCTGGGCCGCCATGCACGACGCGGGTGCATCTGCTTATGGTACTATCAATCGTCACCGCACCAGTCACTGGATATCCGAGATGCCGGTGAACCTGTTGGAATCCAGAAGAAACCTCCCCACTGGTTCTGAGCACAATGTGACCAGACGGGCTATTATGCGCGAACTAAAACGGAGCCTGCATACTGACGAGGAAGCCTGGTGGACCAGTCGGGCTCAAGAAATGGAGGCAGGAGCACTGGGCAATTATTGCAAGCTGTTCTAGCTGATTCGCACCACTGGTCCCATGAAACCAGACGTCAGTGCGACATTT